CTAATGATGGGACAGAATAAACAAAGGTTGATTTCATGATTGTCCTGTGAAGGATGCTACAGTCATGGTCACACGAAAGATATTAGTCTTGAACCTATATTTTATTTCTTGCAAGTTTCTAGGAGGATAGACTGGGAAGCGTTACTTGCATCGAAGCAGTCCGACATGCATTTATCAGAACAGTTAGTTATATTGATTTCATATTCTTCCTCCAGATCTTTTCTGTGAAAATGTTCTGCAGGCACTCAGAACTGGATGTGGTTTGATTTATAAACTCTTTATCTAAAAGAGCGGACAGAGTTTGAAAAGGTACAGAGGAGTCTATATGATTTCACACCTTTAGTGATAATCATCCTTTTGGTGTTACTTTCTATATAAGAACCAAACAAAATATACACTCATGCTCATTCCAGGATTTTCATAATTCGAGCATCATGGACTGCTTGTTCCTGACATAGGTCTCAAAATTTGTAAAAATTTCAGAAAAAAAGCATGCAGGATACTTGTAAACACACTCGTAACGGTGAAAATGAGGGCTAACAAGTTTATGTCAAGGTCAAGGACATAAGCCCTTTCTGCTTCCAAGTTACAAACATACACAATATCATTCAGTGCCATGGTAAAAACAGGGTGTATGAATTTAAAGTAAGTTTTTAGACTGAAAAACATCTCAATTGTTTTTTACTAAATTTTTCAACTTAATTCAAGTTATGAAACATAACAGCACGTTTTTGCTTAACATCCTGCTTTTTTCTACGATGTGAGCACCTCTAGAACAAAAGGATTGAATTTCATAATTGTTTGGGATATACACATATTTTGGATTCTTGCTAATAGAAGATTTAAAAATAAAATGGATAATGCTTTGTTTTTTTTTTCAGATTTTTGGGTATGCTGGCGGCCTAGACATCTGAAGCAAAATTCCACTGTGCTCAAGGTCAGTATCAAGAGCTGGGTCCAAGTACAGGCTTACGTGTTTCGAGACGACTTAGGGTCTTAATGGAGTTCAAAACAAAAATTGTAAAGTACATTTCGTTGTTGAACCTGGGGTGTAGCCTTTTGATCAATGTTTTCCTACACATCTCAGTAATAATGACTTCGATGAGCTGCTCCTTTAATGACGACAATTCTAAACTATTAGAAAAATCAGTTTCACACAATTCATCACTTCGCTGCCCTTGCGATTGCCACTCGATGTATTCTTCATCAAACATAGGAACCTTACAAAACAGATGTAAAATCTGATGGTATACTTCTCTCCACTAAGCTAACCGCTCCACCAAACTAACTTAAAATGATTTCTTCATCCAAGAATTTTCAAGCCTGTCCTATTAGTACCTGATCCACTAAGTAGGCACTGCTTAAGTGTTAAGTTTTTACCCTTAGTTAGCACTCTATTCTTTACTAGCATATGATACAGTTTTTTCTTAAACAGGCTATGTACTCAGTACTATTAGAAGTGGCGAATTTGATCTTAACAAATCAAATCCTATTACGGCAGGATTTATTGGTTTTAAAGCACGACTGGTTCTATCCTATTGTAATTCAGAATTGAATTTAATTTGATACACATTAACGAATAAAATACTCAGGCAGCATGACAAAATTAGGTCATAAGAAGTGTTCACAGGGTTTTCTGTGCTTTGACCAGTTTATTTCACCTTATTAAAGCTTCCTTTAGGAAATATTATTAGTAAACCACTCCATAAACTTGCATTAATTATGCAGACAATACCCAAACTATATTTAACAGTGAAGCCCAATGAAATTTATCAGTTGGTTAACACTAGAAACCGCCAAGATGGTCTGACGGACCGCATCTGAGATTATTTATTATGTAAATAACCTTTGTTTAAATAAAATCTAAAGTGTCTCTCACTCCATAATTTTCCTGAAATATATGTTTTTGATGAGTTTTCTGAAGCACTAGAAGTGATTAAAATAAAAAACAAAAAAGATTTTTGGCAGAGTGAGCAGAGTTGATAGAGTGAGCGTGAAGTATCTGAGAGTAGATCAGCTGGACTGCGCCGTGCAACTAGGGTCTAACACTCTATTTGGGAAATGGCCGGAGCACAGGACACGACCAAAGAAAAGAACGTTTGGGATATTGAATATATGGCGAGGAGGAGAGAAATGGAGAAGAACAATGAAGCCTGCTGATATAATGTTGGGAATCCATTCAAACTGTGTGGCGCAGAATATCTGCCCAGAAGGGCTTCCAGTCCGTGCACAGGTGCGCTAAGTTCTTACTGGACAGTAAGTAAAGTCAGATTGGTTGTTGGTAAATGCATTGCTCACGTTGAAGCCCTCGTGCCAATAAAAAGTAATTTCTTTTCCAAAGCTGTAATCCTCGTGAAGAGCGAAACTTACAAAAGTTGTACTCAAGGCTAGGCTTACTTGCAGCTAAACAGCAGCTTGAAGTGCATCCAACAACACTCCGTAATGGCACTTGTTTTACGAGTTGATTCTGCTAATACTCTGCAGCGTGTAGGTATTTCAATGGTCATAAACGTGAATCTTTTTTCGCGATACTTCAACGTGGAATGGTTTTTGGACAGAGTAGATAAATTTATTTATCTCTCGGAGGCGCAGGGATGTATGTACGCACTCCGAATAATCAGCAATAATTACAAATCGTTTGTAAGTGACTACCTAGACCTTGCCTTGAGAGATTACCTAGTCCAAGCAACTTGCTAAACTCTAAGTTTTGCCTCGAGAATGTCATTTTCTAAACCATCATCTCATTGTGTTAGCTCCTTCTCGCGACAGCTTATGCCATGTAAGGCTGGGACCAAGTAAGCCCTCCATGCCACAATTATATCAGCATCGGATCTCTGGGGTCTTTGTCTCTGGGCAGTGAATTGTTTGTCATTGATTTCTGTTTTCATTTTTATTGGTAGACAGACTCATGGTGAGTTGTCTGAACATTTTTCTATGTTGCATTGTTCTGGTGTGGTGTGTGGCGTATAGCAAGAGGACTTCTATAGAAGGAGTGAGGCATATGGACAGCAGGACCATGTCTGCCATGGAAATTGGGGCAAGGTGTGTACAATGACCCTTTCACCACTGTATGTCAACCTTCAAGAGAATTCCTCCATTATACATTCAATACATGCATTATAATGATGTTGTGTTCTACAGTAATTTTATTGCACATCTATGACATTTTTCACCTTATAGTTTTTTTTTTATTGTTTTTATTTAAATTCTCTTCAGATCCGCAGCTACGACACAGGCCAGCTGATTTTCCAAAGAAAGGAGTCACACAGAGTTAGCGTGGAACAAGCTTAACTCTGTGAGGAGAACAAAGGAGAATAACAGCAAAAAGCAAACACAGCCAGACAGGACTTTACTCCACCAGGAGAGCCTCCCAACTCACTGGACTTTAACTACAACACTGGAAAGACCTCTTTGTTGTGTTCCAAGACTGGATAAACGTTATATATGTTAATATGTGCATTAACTTGTGACCCTATGGGTGGGTGGGTGGTATTATAGCAATTGTTTTTGATGATAATGCATTTTTGTATTTGGGGGATGGTTGGGTTGTTGTATGTCTTGTACACTTTCTCTATGTGGAAACCACTTTGAAAAAACAATAAAACATATTTTCTATTAACAATTTAAAAAAAGTCTTACAGACCAGATTTGGACAACGGCAGCTGAAGACAGGCTAATTTGTATCCTCACAGGATCATCTTTGGCTCCTGCTAAAGGATATTGCCATTATGTGTTAAAAGAAATAGACTCTCACCTAAAAAGGCATCAAAGTATTGAGTGTGGCCCCAGTGATTAACAGCTTACTTCATGAATGTCTCATGTTATAGTTCTGATAGGGAAATCTGTATGTTCACAAAAGGAGCTAGGCCATTGTTCTGGTTCCTCATAAAAGACTCTCGTTGTGGTAGGGTTTCACTAAACTGCTTTTGTACAGGAGTTCTATGGACCATACCTTCAAGGTATGGGTCGCATAGAACTCCCTCTACAAAAACAATTGTTTCCATACAGTAAGTTAAGATGGCACACCAACCAAACTACATCTGACCTTTTTCTATCCATCCTAAGAAAGAAGTCAGCTATATATAAGAACTCATACAGCTCTATGGAGAATAGGCCAGAGACACAAAAGACAGTTGCGGAACAGTTAAAGGTGGGTGCCAATAAGGTAAAAACAATAACTACAATACAGGAAATTTAAGTTCTTCTTTTATATTTGCTATTACAGGCTATGTCCATACCAACAGAAAGGCAAAAATGAACGCGTCTTGAGCTCCTCTTCCTGGTAATCCATGGGCCCAAAAGCAGTCAATTAACATGCCAAAATGACCTTCGAACGCTCCAGGTAAGTACGGCCTGCTTCAGCTTTCTGATGTGTATATGTTATGTCTCATCTCTCTATGAGGTCAGAAAGAACATTTTCTGTAATGTCTACTCTTTGTTAAGAGAAGCATATTATTTGACACTCAGAACAGCCTTCTAGACAGAATGCAATGTTTGCCACAAATGTAAACAACAAAAGCAGGAAAATTAAAATAGCAGATTTAGAGTGTGAATCTAGTTTTTTTCCTTTCAGACATTGAAATTAGTTTTTTAACTGATCAAGATTTCAAGTGACAATTTGCAGAGAAAGCCCTGGGTGATGTACCCGTCCTTCTCTTACAGAACACACTGACGACTTTCAGTTTGAATGTGGCACATCCTCAGATGTTAGCCTGGCTATTCTAATCTGCCTGTTGCTCTACAGCTGGCTACAACGAGTGCTCTTCTCATCCTCAACCACATATTTCAACAGCCGGATTGTCAAGGAAACCTTGGATGAATCTCTAACTCTGCCTGTTGTCAGGTTACTCCCCCATCAACATGACAATGCTGTGCCGGCAGCAACCCCTTCCTGTTAGTAGAGGAATGGGGATAACCATATGTTGTTCTCAAAGCATCCTCTCTTTTTTTCTCTGTGCTTAGACTCTGACTGTAAATGTTGCCTCCAGACCACCAGCTGCACTGGCACAGGGATCTTTAGCTGACTCTCCAACAGTCAGACGGCTTAATTTATCAGTGGTGTGGTGCACTCCCCATGATCCAACTACGGGAGATAGTTACCTATAACGCTGAGCTCAAATATTATTATTCCTGTGCTTACCCTCTGCGAGTATCTCATCAACAACACTACATAGGTGGAAGTGTAAATCCCTGCTTGTATCCAGTCCAGCTGACTTATTCTGTTTACTGTATATAACTGGAAATGTTTGTTAGATTGGGATCAGGAACTTGGGTCCTGTGACGCATTCTGCGTGGTGCAGGTTTCTATGAAAGTTGTGCTTCATAAAGTTATAATTGGTTTTTGAGAGATTTTAACAATTTATCCTAATCAAAAACAAAAGTAGGCAAATACACTTGATAGTCTTTTTCCTCTTGAAGTGTGGTTATTGTGATATCAGCTAGTTTGGCTTACCACTCCTCTAAAAATAAGGGAAGTTGCTTATTTACTATTAAGCAAAGAAAATTGATTATAACAAAATTCTGACCCTATTTTATTTACATGTACACACCACAGCATACAGTAGCAGCAATGTCTCTAAATTTTTTGGAAAACATTAACATTAATTTTTAAGTCATTTTCTCCCTGCTTTTGTGAGGAATTGAAAAAACCAAAGTTCAACATAAAACATAAACACAGCCAAACTGTTCGGATGTGTTTAGCTTCTGTCCTCATCACAGTCTCTCAGTAAATAAGATTGGGTTTTCAAACTGAGAGTAGCTTATTCTCCTGTTTGGTGGAAATAATCCTGTGGTGTTACAGTGACATGTAGATACAGTCAAAGTCTTTCATCCAGTTAATTCCACCTGTTTAGTCCAGCCATCTTCCATTGCAGTGAGGGACAACAATGGAAGCTTCATCAGTACTTTGAGCATGGAACTCTTCAGTGTAGTGCAGACCTAGATGTTTCATAGTGAGGTCTGTTCTTCTAACACAGCTGTTGATTCATTGTTGTTGTAGTC